GACTTTTTAATGATTGCCATTCTAACTGGTATGAGATGATATCTCATTGTGGTTTTGATTCGCATTTCTCTGATGGTGAGTGATGATGAGCATTTTTTCATGTGTCTGTTGGCTGCATAAATGTCTTCTTTGAAAAGTATCTGTTCATATCCTTTGCCCACTTTTTGATGGGGTTGTTTGATTTTTTCTTGTAAATTTGTTTAAGTTCCTTGTAGATTATGGATATTAGCCCTTTGTCAGATGGGTACATTGCAAACATTTTCTCCCATTCTGTAGGTTGCCTGTTCACTCTAATGGTAGTTTCTTCTGCTGTGCAGAAGGTCTTTAGTTTAATTAGATCCCATTTGTCTATTTTGGCTTTGGTTGCTGTTGCTTTTGGTGTTTTGGTCATGAAGTCCTTGCCCATGCCTATGTCCTGAATGGCATTGCCTAGGTTTTCTTCTAGGGTTTTATGGCTTTAGGTCTAACATTTAAGTCTTTAATCCATCTTGAATTAATTTTTGTATAAGATGTAAGGAAGGGATTCAGTTTCAACTTTCTACATATGGCCAGCCAGTTTTCCCAGCACCATTTATTAAATAGGGAATACTTTCCCCATTTCTTGTTTTTGTCAGGTTTGTGAAAGATCAGATGGTTGTAGATGTGTAGTGTTACTTCTGAGGCCTCTGTTCTGTTCCATTGGTCTATATCTCTGTTTTGGTACCAGTACCATGCTGTTTTGGTTACTGTAGCCTTGCAGTATAGCTTGAAGTGCTGACTCTAGTTTTTTAAAAACCAAGCTTCTCTCCCTTAACCAATTGCAAATCAGAAAGCCTTTGAATCTACTCATGACCTGTAAGATATCCTGCTGCTTCACAGTAACTCTTTTAGGCCAAAACCAATATGTAATGTCTATGTGTTGGTTTATGATTTTGCCTGTAATTTCTGCTTTTCTGAAATTGTCCCTGCCTTAAAAAAACCCTTACCTGCATGCCATCAGTGAGGTCAGGATTTAAGTGTTAGCTGTCTGGTCCTCTTTGCTTAATGTTCTGTAAATAAATGCCTTCCTTTCTACTGCTACAAGCTCAGTGTGAATTTCTGGTCTTAGTATGCCAGCGAAGTAGCTGAGTTTGATAACATGGGCCCAGTTTACAGAGGGCATTAATCCATTCATAAGGAAGGGTTGTCATGAATTAAACACTTTCCATTAGGCCCTACCTCCCAGTTCTGTTGTATTCTGGATTAAGTTAACACCAAATGGGTTTGGGGAGACACAGTGAAACCATAGCATTGTCCTAAAAGATGCTCATTCCAAGCCCTGTGCTCTGCTATACATGTGGGCAGAGCTGCCTTCCCCAGCTTCAGGGAGAGCAGTGAGGGTCAGAGACGGCCATTGAAAGTCAGCTGAAATACATGAAGGAGAAAGGCCTAGGGTGCAGACAGGGACTACTACATCCATCCAGAAAAAAGAAAACGAAACAAAACACATGTACTTTCAATCTAGAGCTGCATCCCTCTAAAACATTGTTTCCCAGCAGGTTGGTTGTAAGTGAAGGAATCTGGGAAATAAGGTCTCAAGATATGCTGCATTGGTATGGTGATTACTTTAAACTGAAGGCACTTAGAAAACAGCAAATATACAAAGGGGATTTTCCTAAATCTTCTTTATCTGCCTAAAGGCAAATTCTCCTGAAGGAAGCCAATTGTAATGAAAACAGAGTTGGCTTGATCTTATAATGCTTTTAAAGTTTAGTAAAAATGCCATGCCCTTGTGCAACAGAAAATGAGTCACTTTTCTCTTTAAATTCCCGAGGTTAAGGAAGTTACAGTGCTTTAGAGTGCACTCCAGGGGGGTGCAAGTTGAAGATAATCAAGAAGTGAGAATAAAAGTGTTCTTTCAGTCTCCTTTCTTTCCATATGACCCAGGATGGAGGAGAAGACAGGGAGTGTCCTTTGGCTGTTTTCCCTCCCTGGTTTCTGAGTCCTGGCACCATGTTAAATGTGCCGCCCATGGTTGAAGACATGGTCCCCCAAATGATGAAACTGGACGAACTAAGCGATGGGACTAAACGCTTACCCACGCAACCTTAGCTTATCCACCTTGTGTGATTTCCCTTTGACTTCCCAAACCTGTGTGATTTGCCTGGCTCCCTGAAAAACGAATCTCTAGAGAGACTGTGTTGCCTTTGGGCAAGGGTCCTTTAATGTGCTACACTGCCTGCTATTATGGCCCATGCCAAAGCACTTACCCGTCAAAAAGATGGTTCCAGGTAACTTCTGAACTTAAAATCCCCTTACTAATTAAGAACTATCTTAATCGGAGACAGAATAGGCAACTTAAAAGACCGTAGGAACCGAGCGGTCATTTTTCTACTGATGGGACAATATCGGGACTAAAATCTGGCTGCAGAAGACATTTTACTTCTATGTTGAAAGCAGAGCTCTCCCTTCCACAGAAGTAGCAGTAGAAAAGCACAAAATGAGTAAGTTGTGAAGCTGCAATGCACTGCAGAGAACCAGCAATGTGTCTCATAAAGAGAATTTCTATTTCCACTAGGGGGCGCTCTTAGGTTAGAAATACCATGTGCTCCCCAGCGTTAGTAGCGAGTAATCTCACTGTGGGAAAAAGGGGAGAAGAACTCTGTTCCTAGAAGACTGCAATGGCATTTTCCTGACCTGTAAGTCTGGTCTACAGCATTTCCTGTTGCCTAACAGGATTACTTCCCTAGGCTGTAAAAATTCCTGTATATTTGACACACACAGAGAGAATAAGAGACCACAGATAGAGAAAGAAGGAAAGAAGGAAAGAAAGTTTTTTGACAGGATAGCTGGAAGAACAGCCCAGAGACTGAAGGACAGATTTGAGGCTGAGATTTGCTCCATACTCACTGCTCCAACGAATGAATTCCCTGCCCATGCACCAAAATGATATGGCTCTGATGACTGGAGGGGCCCAGGTCCTTTGTTTTGTGCTGGTTTAGATAAAATGGCAGAGATGCCCATCAAGTGCTTTTAAGGAGCTGACAGTTTATTAGGCAAGAAAGAAGGAAGAAAAAACAGCTTCCCCATACAGAGACAGAGGGAGGGGGAATTTGAATAAAGAGAAACCCCGTGTATGGTGGAAAAGTGGTTGCTTATATTGGGATGCTGGAGGAGGCAGTTTCTGGTTTGCATAGGGCCCAGGGGATTGGTTTGACCAGGTTTGTTATTTACATAGCCTGCAAAAAACCTGGCCCTTCCACCTTGGCTCTTTAATATGCAAATGCATGTCACCATGATATTCTGAACAGATGGTAGCATTTGGAGGCAGTCATTACACCTGGCACACATGGTGACAAGAAGAAGAAGGCTTAAATTGCCATATTGAATGGATTGTTTCTAATGTCCGGCATTTGCATATCAAAGCTTGCCGGCCTGGTCCTTCAAGCCATTTTTCTGTTAGAAAAGAAATGGTTTGGGGGTTGCTTTTATTAAAAGAAAAAGCCTTACCAAGAACTTATTTTACCCTCTTTATCTACCTAAAAATTATGTCTTAATAACTCCTGTATTAATTTGGCCACCTTTAATCAGGCATCGATAATATCCCTGGAGTCCCCTAGACTCCAGGACACTGATGCTGGTGTAATTGGGATCACTTCCCTTGCTGCTAAGCAAGCTCGGATGCCCTGGGCCAAGCTGGGGATGTGAGATATAATGTGTGCAAATCTGCATCCAGTTTTTTCTAGATTCAAGTAATTTCTCTGCAAACATGGGCATTTGCTTGATAGAAGATGGGGCCTCTCTCTTGGATTTGAGACAAGGAGGCTGGCATCTGGGCCAGAATGATGTCCCCAGTCACTGTTAAAGAGTAAAAGGTAGGGTGGTATTGATGGTACAAGACGCTGACATGAACTGAGCAGCAGCCATTCTCACTTACGAGAAAGGGTTCACTGACCTGGTCTTTCCCAGGGAGTCTTCCCCTTACCTTCTCTCCAGAAAGCCAGACTCCAGGGGAGCTGCACCCGAGCCTCCAGGAACATGGCAGTAGGGAGTGCAGCTCAGAGCGTTACCCAGGGGATATGATGTTGATTCCTGTGCTTTGGGGACAATTGATCGTTGGAGCCTGAATTGATGCATAGTTTCAAGTTTACCCTAATCCAAGCTCCTATAATTGTAGGAAGAAACAAGTTTTTTTGTTTTGTTTTGTTTTGTTTTTGTTTTTGTTTGTTTGTTTGAAGTAATCCAATCTGGCATTACTTTTCAGCCTGTCATGCTGAAAAACTGAAGGAAATAATACCCAATGGCAGAAAAGAGGGTAGTACATGGGGGTCCCCAAACCAAGAATAAGGTGCAGCTCACTTAGTCTGTGGGTATTTCAGAGACCTATAGCTTGGGATGATAGTGGATCTATGAGTGACACATGCATTGAGGAATCATGGTATCATTTTTGTGCATTGGCAGTGACTTGCTTGACCCTACACTGGCAATAACAGTAGCTTTGGTAATTACAAGCTGCTTTTGAATATATTAAAATGCTTCTGATTAAATCTTTTTTTTCGTTTCAGACAAGGAAGCCATTTCACACTGACAGAGATGTTAGTGCAGCACAAAAGATTTTTATGCCTACCTAATCCATTTGAGAGTAATGTGAAGATCTGATATCGCCATCTTCTAAGACTTTGTTATGCATTCCCTACAAACAAGGATTCTCTCCTACATTATCCCAGTACAATTATTAAATACATTACTGTATCTAGTCCTTAAATTTTGACAATTGTCCCCCAAATCTCTTTTGCAACAATAGGGTCTCTAGAGAGAAATACATTTCCTCCACACAAATCTGTCCTGCCCTGGTCTGACCTAGGACCCTGGGGACACTGCCGCTGTGCTGAGTTACTGAGATGAGCCAGCCCTGCAGCTGTGCCCAGTCTACCCCACACCCTGCCAATTTATACGTACCCAGAACATAGCCCCCTGCCCTGAAGACTTTTTTATAGGCTGGTCACACCCTGTGCAGGCATCAGTCCCAGCCAGGACACAGCATGGACATGAGGGTTCCTCCTCAGCTCCTGGGGCTCCTGCTGCTCTGGCTCCCAGGTAAGAAAGGAGAACATTAGGAATTTACTCAGCTAGTGGGCTCAATACTGCCTGGACACTCAGGGAAATATTCTTATAATGTGATTAATAGTTTGAATATTTGTTTTTATGTTTCTAATTTCAGGTGCCAGACGTGCCATCCAGATGACCCAGTCTCCATCCTCCCTGTCTGTATCTGTAGGAGACGGAGTCACCATCACTTGCCAGGCAAGTCAGGGCATTAGCAATGAGTTAGCCTGGTATCAGCAGAAACCAGGGAATTCTCCTAAGCTCCTTATATATAAAGCATCCAATTTGCAGACAGGGTTAGCATCTCAGTTCATTGGTGGTGGATCTGGAATAGATTTCACTCTCACCATAAACAACATTCAGCCTGACGAGGTTGCAACTTATTACTGCCAACAGGAGAATAGTTCCCCTTGCCCAGTGTTACAAGTCATAAACTAAACCTCCCAGGGAAGCAGATGTGTGAGGCTGGGCTGCCCCAGATGCTCCTCCTGGTGCCTCCATCTGCGGAGAGCATTTCTCAGACTGAAGCCATACTTGGAAGGTCACTGGAAAGTTTTGGTAGAAGGGCCATAAAGCCTCTTGTATACCTTAACTGTCTTTCCTTCTTCTCATCCCTAGCAGCACAGACATGGCAACGCCTCTCCTGATTTTGTTAAGAACAGATATTATTACATCTGAGTCTGAGTTATGGTGTGAGTTGGAATTAATAGCACAAAGGAGAAGCCACTCTTGGAATTCCAAGTAGAATTTTTTTCAAAATACAGGGAATGAGAGTCTAAACTACAGCTTTTCAAGGCTTGGGATCATGGTAGTTAAATGTGCAAATACTGGAACGGAGGGATTCTTTGGAATTCCCCAAGAATCCAGAGTTTATCCACAACAGAAGGATTAATCGCCAATCATGTGGTCCTCAGACCTGCCTGGGAAGCTCAGGATTGGGGATGCTGATGCTCCCAGCTGCCTAGAGGACTTCATTAGGTGATTCTCCAATCCTCACCTCTGTCCGTGTATCTTGCTGAGGTGCTGATAGATAGTATTGAATCCTCCTTTTCTGACTTCCAAATCTCAGCGAGGGCTCTTCACTGGTCAACTCTACTGAAAACGAAAGAGGTAGAAGGGGTTCTGGAAGATGTACTTCTAGGATGGTAGTAATGATGGGGAAGTAACAGCTGACATTTCAGTGCAGTCTTTACATTACAGCTCTCAGGGGTTTGTCAGGTGATGGCCCCAGAATACATTGGGATGTGCTTCCAAATACTACCAACAAATTTGAGATAATAGCAAGGACATTTTATTAAGTCATATATTAAATAAAAAATTAGAAAAATAGGAATTGCATTAAATGTATATAGCAATCATTTCAAATAAACTTTGTGGACTACATATATGTGTGTGTCATACACACATATGTCATACACATATATGCTTGTGTGTCATACACACAGAAGTGTAACATTCTTTGTCCTTAATATAAAAACCTTGCTACTCAAAATTTTTCCAGAAACCAGCAGCATCACTAAGACCATGTCATAAATGCAAAATAGCAGACCCACCTTTCATTAACTCAGTGGGAATCTGCATTTTAACAAGATAACAGATCTATAGAGGTTTAAGAAGCTATGTTTTAGGGAATGTTTACTTCAGCTAAGGAGTATTTGTTTTTATTCAATGTGGCAATTTAAGAAAATTAGTTTAAAGTTACATGTTATTAATAAAAACACATCCAATTTTATTTTTAACACCATTTGATTTGATTTAATTTTATTTAAATTAACTTCAGTTTGTTTTTTTAATGCTGAAGGTTGAAAAACAATCTCATTAATTATTTGTCGATGACATGATCAAATACCTTGAAAATTAAATGGAGAAAAGGTCTTAGAAACTTGAAGAATTACTAAGGTTAAAGAATAAATCCACGTTTTGGGTATTTGTGTTGGAGCTGTTGGGACTTAAATTTGCTTCTGTAGCTTGACCTCAGGATGTTGGTCATTGTCCTGGATAATCACTGCTCCTTCAGTCTTAACCCCAGAACAAAGAAAATCCATACATTAGCGATAAACTCAGTGACCTACAGCAGAACCACCCAGCTGAGCCCTGCCTAGATCAGCTGAATTATTGTTATTATGAACATCTGTAAACATGAAAATAAATACAAGTATTGTAAGCCACCACATTTTGAGTGATTTTTTGCAAACCATTACTGTTAAAAACATAATTACATTATTGAATATCCACACATATAGATATATAAATTTTGTGAAAATTGACTGGATAAATTAGAAAACCTAAAAGAAATTATATATATATATATATATATATTTTTTTTTTTTTTTTTTTGAGACGGAGTCTCACTCTGTCACCCAGGCTGGAGTGCAGTGGCTGGATCTCAGCTCACTGCAAGCTCTGCCTCCCGGGTTTACACCATTCTCCTGGCTCAGCCTCCTGAGTAGCTGGGACTACAGGCGCCCGCCACCTCGCCCAGCTAGCTTTTTGTAGTTTTTAGTAGAGACGGGGTTTCACTGTGTTAGCCAGGATGGTCTCGATCTCCTGACCTTGTGATCCGCCCGTCTCAGCCTCCCAAAGTGCTGGGATTACAGGCTTGAGCCACCACACCCAGCAAGAAATCATAGTTGAATAAATAGAATACAACTTAGCTCATTTATGGAAACATCTAACAGTAATGGTTAGTAGAGTTTACCCATATGATATGATTTGGCTCTGTGTCCCCACCCAAATCTCATCTCAAATTGCAATTCCCACATGTTGAGAAAGGGACCTGGTGGGAGGTGGTTGGATCATGGAGTGGTTTCCCCCAGGTTGTTCTCATGATAGTGAGGGAGTTCTCACAAGATCTGGTTGTTTGATAAGTATCTGGAATTTCCCCTGTGCACTCTTTCTCTCCTGCTACCATGTAAGACGTGTCTTGCTTCTCCTTCACCTTCAGCCACAATTTTAGGTTTCTTGAGGCCTCTCCAGCTATTCAGAACTGTGAGTCAATTAAATGTCTTTTGTGTATGAATTACCTAGTCTCAAGTAGTATCTTTATAGCAGTGTGAAAACAGACTAATATATCATATGTAGCAATACTCAACAGAGGAATCAGAATGAGACTTTATATATATGATACACGCTTATTGAAAAATAATTAAGTTCACATTTTATAAATAATACATGTTTATACATATATGTGTTTATATGTGATCTATATGCATACATATTTAGATATATTGCTTGCATAAACTTATCCATACAAATAGTCATGTTTTAACAAAGTTATATGACCATATTTATGTGTATATACACACATACACATACAACACATACACATGTACAAAATTATCAGGGTGCCAAGGAAATGTAGTTTGGCCTTTCCAGGCCCTACCTTACAGAAAGAACCCAGAAGATTAGAGAATATAAATGAAACAAATTCTAAAACATCAAGACTCATGTGTACATTTTGTTAAATAATTTTGTTTTTACATTCGTCATTTTCTTTAAAGTTTTATAAGGTGCTCTTTTTTGGTCACCTTTGTAATTTAGATTTTAGGTTAAATTTGTGACCCATGAGGGATGGTGGCTGCTGGACTGAAGGTGTTTGGATTTCACCATTGTTTAGGTAGAGGTGATTGCACTGTTATTTGTAAAGGAAATGTTTGCAATATGTTAGGTGGTAACACATTGCTCTCGATGTGTTGAAAAAGGAGTTCAAATGTGGGAAAGTGAGCACTGTTGATGGAAAGTCACAAAGGCAGATTGGGATAGAACAAGCCCTGTTACCCATGAGAAGAGATGAATCTGAAAGAGACTAAAATAAGGGATGAGCCGCAGGACAAGGATTCAGATTTCTGGTAGCTGCTGGCAGGGCTGTTGTCCTTCTAGAGGCAGCAGTGAGGGGAGCAGCTCTTTTCTCCCCAGGAGGCAGCCTGAATATGGAGCCACAGGCAGCATGGACCTCCACAGCCTGCATCAGCAGTGCCATTCTTGGAATTTTTCTACAGGCTTTGCCTGGAGTTATGGCTTCCCAACAATTTGTGAGCAATTTAATATGCTATAGTAAACCCCTTTTTGCTTAGGGACTTGACATTTGTAACCAACAACAATGAGCAGTTCACACTAAGTGCAAGATCACAGCCTCCTCTTTTCTCGCTAAGTATAATGCTTTCCAGGCGGGCCTGCCAGAGGAGGCCAAAAGAAACAATCTCTGTATCATCAAGAGTACAGGACCAATAAGCTCAGGGGAGCCACCAAGTTCTCATCCAGTTGCACCATCTCATGGCACAAAAAGAGAGGACTGAGGAATCTTTCTGTAATCCTTCAGCTGTTCTTTCTGCAGCCTTGGGTAGGTTCTCCACGTGCATGCACTCATCAGTGCTCTGGAATACCAAGGGAGGGCTTCTGGGGATAGCCTGGGCTCTGTCTGTGGAGCTCCCTTCTCTATTTCTCTGTCTCCACCTTTCTGGACCACCAGCTCTTCTTCCTCTATTCAGGGATACTCCTAGGGTTCTGCTAGGGATTATTCCTGAACAATTTTCTGGAAACTTCCTCAGGGTGTAAGATGGATCAATTTAAATCGCACCTCCTCTGCTTTCCAATTCGCTGGGACAATTATCTTTGATTTCTAATGTCCAATGACTTGAAAAAAACTGCTTCATGTAGTTTGTGCTGTGTTTTAGTTAATCCAGAGAGGAGTGTCAATCTGGTCTATGCTAATCTGTTTTGGATCCAAACTGAATTTCTGGAAGTGACGTGTGGATTTAGAATTTTGCACTCCTTGGGGTTCTGTATCAGAATCTCGCAGTGCAGGAATAGCAGGTCCTAATCTGGGGTCGCAATTGGGCCCTCACTGCCATTTCCTCATCTCCTGCCCTGTCTCACACCACACCCAGCCTTCTGCACACAAATACAGAAACTTCACCATCTTCACACCATCCACATATCACCCTCTAAGCAGCAACCCCTTGGCCTCACATTGCACCCGGGGAGTGAACACCTTTTGTGTAGCCACTCCCAAGAGAATGAGCCCATGGAAGAGGACAGTGTAGTCTCTGGGAATTAGGCTTGGAGTATTAAATTTGAAAGGTCAAGGTCCCAGGAACCTAGAGAGTCATGTTGCGGAAGAAAATTGACTCTAAATTAGCACAGTTTCTCTGTGGGAAAGACTGGAGGAAATCCAGGTGCGGGGCTTTCACTTCTGGGGCCCAGAGCAAGAGGCCCCTCTTGTTGGGTGTGACTGTGGCTCTGGTTGATGCATTATTGCTGTGACACTTTGATACTCCCATTAAAATACAAGATTGGAGGCCTCCAACCATGATGCTGTCAGTGTCCACAGGGCTCCTTTATGATTCAGTAGGTTGTTGAGGACTCCCTGGCCTTGATGTTCTCGCAGCAGGGCTGGTTTTGTCTCCACCCTCATCCTTCCTTCCTTCATGTCTTCCCTG